TCAGAGCGTGTCTGTGTGAGTGCTTGGGATGAATTAATTTTTTTTTATATTATTATAGTCTCGCATTGATTTCGTTCAGTTAATTGATGTTTCTGCCACATTTAAGGATTTTATTACTAACATTATTTTGTTTAGTTTCATGTGGGGTAGTTTTGAAATTATCGTTTTATTCCCCCCCCTCAACAGACACTGAATTGTACATATGGGGTTAGGATTTTCATAGAGACAATGAGTTATGGTGGATATAGTAAAAAAAGGTAAGTAAGAATGTGTTGGTTTGCTGTTAGGAATATTGTGCTATGTTTGGATCAGTGTTTGTAGCTAGAAAGTTAAAGTTAAGACAGAAGAAGACCGTCCTTTCCCCAATCACAATTTTGGCCGTGTGCCACATTTTGCATCATTGTACAAATGAATATCGGGAAGTTTCCAGCAGTCAGCTCTGACAGTCGGACCGAACATTCTTGCTGTAACACTCTCGCTTGTATATGTTTGTATTACATTTACTGTTAATAAATTTGTTTAACTCAATTCTTCTCTTGTGTGTTTATGGCCCTAACAAGGCCACAACACACACACACACACACACACACACACACACACACATATATATATATATATATATATATATATATATATATATATGGAGTTTTTTAAACATTTAAATTACTATCAAACGTTAAAATCTATTTTTATCTAAATTGCTAAAGCTATACCACCTCTCTTCTTCCTCCAAAAACCCTACGTACATCTCTTATCTCTTTAATTCCCCATTTTTTCTTTTTCTCTTTTTCCTTTTCTCATATCATCTCCGTTGAGCTGACCGATTAAATAGGTCAATGTCTGATTCTTACCTTCTCCTTCCTCAATATTAAGTATTATAATAAAAAGAAATATATAAAAAAAATTAAAACTCTCCCTTCCCTCTCTAAACTTGACCACGTCTCTCATACCATTCCTCACCACCCTCTATGTCAACTTATATAAGCTTAATACTGCCCGTCAAAAGTGTAAATTTTAAATTCATTTTTCGTTTCACCTTTTGAAAGTGATGTTTGAAGATCCAAAGAAAATTAAAAGTCTCTGGTGAAATAAATTATTATAATGGTCTTAAAGTGGTCTGTTTTTCTTTATATCAAATTATATATACACACACACACACACACACACACACACACACACACATATATATATATATATATATATATGAATATATATATATGAATATATATATATAATTTTTTTTATTTTGCTTTTGACCTATATATATATATATATATATATATGTGTGTGTGTGTGTGTGTGTGTGTGTTAAGTAACTTTAGAAAAAGTTACCTAACATCGCTTGATAATGAAACAAATTTAAAGTTCCGTGACATAGAAATTTCCGTGTCGCAATGTAAAATTATTTTTTGAATAAAAATATTATTAAAATGTTATGCTCTACGTTGTATCGAGCCCTTTTTTAAAACGTAAATGGTAAAGATCTGTAGATTCTTAATCTGACTGTTCTTACCCTTCATTTGTATATTTGTTTATTTGTATATATATATATATATATATATATATATATATATATATATATATATATATATATATATAGTAAGGAAAAACAAATATTCGAGCACATAATTTTTTTAATTTACTGTATTTCCAACTAATAAATAAACCTACTTTTCCTATAGTTAAAGGTACACAGTTGCATAATAAATATGCATAGAAAATAGCAAACCTTTTTATTTAATAGAAATAAATTCCATTCATCGATTTTAATAGGTGAAAAAAGTATTCGTACAATGTAAATTTCAGATTTTAAAACATTTAAATTTCTTTAAGACTCTAGATTATTCAAACGAAATATTCGAAAATATTCCAATAATATTATCAGGAGTTATTTTTAGCCAAAAAAGTAACATTCTGTAATTGATATTCGTGCAAGTGTTTTTTTCGTAATGGCAAGAGGTAAAGTGTTGCCAAATTCACAGACTGATTGTTAAGCTCCGAAAAGAAGGTAATAGTTAAAGGAAAATCTCAGACAACCTGAATATTCCATTTAATTCAATTAGTAGATTCATTTCAAGAAATAAAAAACCCGAAACTGTTGAAAACCAAAGAGCAAGTTTTCCACGGAAGATTTCTTCAAGATCTTCGAGGAAATTAATGCGTCAGATTAGACAAAATCGAATTGTTACTCATCAAGAGGTGCAGGATGATTTGCTTTCATCAGGAATCTGTGTCACTAAACAGACAATAAGCAATGAAATTCATAGGAACAATCGGAAAACTCCACTGCATATTGAAAAGACACAGAGATAACAGGTTAAAATTCGTTCGTGAACAGAAGGAAAAGTCGTATTGAAAAAGAGTTTTATGGATAGATGTTGTAACCAAGTATATGGCTAAGAAATAACAAAACAAGAGGTTGCAGATAAAGTGTGTATTGAACAGAAGATTATTACACGACTTGGGAGGGTGTGTCGGTTGGCCAGCGTTCAATCCATACTACCGTTCTCCCGATGCTTAATTTTATAGTAAGTGGAAGAGTCCACAATAGACTCATTAGAGGGAGGACACCACAACAATAGACGAAACAAAAACTGAGTTATTTCGACGTAATTCTAGAAATCATGTATAGAGGAAAGATGGCGATGCCTTCAAACAAAAGAACACAGTTTCAACAGTGAAATTTAGTGATGCCAGAATCATGGCTTGGTGATGTTTGCTGCAAAAGCTATTGGCAACATATCAGTAATAGATGGGAGAATCAATGCCGCAGCATATCAAATATTTTGGAAGCAAATTTAATGATACTGATTGAAAATCTTGAACTTCCTTCTGATTGGATCATCCAACAAGATAATGATCCTAAGCACTGTGGAAAATCAACAGAGAAATGGCTTGCTAAAAATAATGTAAATATCCTGAAATGGTCAAGTCAGTTCCCAGGTTTAAACCCAATCGTTATTTGAAAATTCAAATCCAATCGAGAGCTTCAACAAACATCCCGGATCTGAAGACCATATGCAAAGAATGGAACAAAATACCAAATAAAATTTGCAATCATTAATTGAGAACTACAAGAAGAGGTTGGTTGTCTTAGAGGTGAATAATGGTCATTCTATAAATTTTTAAATAAGGATTATGTTTTCTTTTTTTGTATTGCGAGAATACTTTTTCACCCATTAAAATGGATAAATGAAATTTATTTTTATTAAATCAAATTTTCCTATGTTTTTTACGCATGTTTACTTACTATACATCTGTGAACAGTTAATTATATGAAAAGTATGTTTAGTCATCAGTTGGAAATACAATAAATTAAAAAATTATGTGTACGAATATTTGTTTCCCTTCACTGTGTGTCTCTTTTTACACCTTTATATATATATATATATATATATATATATATATATATATATATATAAACTACACGCAAATACACCCTGAAAACGAGTGTTTATTCAAGGATTATTCGTGTGTAGTTATATATATATATATAATATAGATAGATCGATATTTTCTAGATAGATAGTGAGAGAGAGAGAGAGAGAGAGGGAACGAGATAACTACACACAAATAATTTCTCAAAACGAATGTAAAAACATTCTCTGGAATATAATATAAAATAAATGATAATATGAATTCTGGCAAATTTACCGAAAACAGAAAAACTCATTCCCAAATTGGAAAGAAAAGAAGTTTATAGGCAGAACTTGTACATATTATTTAACATGTTTGAGAGCATACACCTCATTTCGAAATACATCTTATTTAAAGGATATGATTCTGCAGTGAACAAGGACATTAACACAACAACATTCCGATGTTCTTTCATAGAAAATCGGTTCCTTCAAATATGAGAACGCCGGAAGTTAAAAAAAAAAAACAGTTGCGTAACACAGAACAATCCTTGAAAGCGAATGTAGAAATATTCACATATACTCGGGAAAAGAAAAGATATAAAATAAAAGTTAATATGAATTTTGGAAAAATTTACCTATAAAACGAAAGATCTTATTCGGAAATGAGTAAGACTTAATGAAAAAAACTTGTTCATATTATTATTAACAGACATGTTTGAGATAATTCATATATATATATATATATATATATATATAAAAATAAATATACTCTTAAGGTGTGCTATATTTATGGGATAAAGTGCTCAATATCATAGATATAACGTATGTAAATATTTCGATTGCGTCTGGCATGAAACAGCTTGTCTCCCTATGAGTGCTGACTGCTATTTTCACTTTTATATCTATCTATCTATCTCTCTCTCTCTCTCTCTCTCTCTCTATATATATATATATATATATATATATATATATATATATATATATATACATGATAAATATATATATATATATATATATATATATATATATATATATATATATATATATATATATATATTACACATATATGAGTGCTGATATATATATGCATACTGAAATAGATATATAAAAATATATATATATATATATATATACAGAGATTGATAGATAGATAGATAGATAGATAGATAGATAGATAGATAGATAGATGTAAACATACGTACAGATATACATGCATATATGCAACTGTACTTCTATTTTCACTTTTATAGCTATCTCTCTCTCTCTCTCTTTTATATATATATATATATATATATATATATATATATATTGTTAGATGAGAATATATATACTTAGATAAATATATATAATATACATATATGAGTGCTGATATATATATATGCATACTGAGGTAGATATATAATATATATATATGCATACTGAGATATATATATATATATATATATATAAAAACATACGTTCAGATATACATACATATATGCAACTGTACTTATATTGTGGAATTTATATAGGTAGAAGTTCTACAGATTAACAACCTTTCTCAAGATATATTTATTTTTGAATATAAATCCACTTGAGACCTCTCTACTGTGTTTTTTTTCTTTTTTTTTTTTTTTGTAGCCGTGATATATTCATCAGTTAATGAAGCCAAACGCTGGAGTTTTTCTTTCTTTCTGTTTGCGTACAAGAAGTTCACATAAAAAAATATCTTTTGGTTTTCCTACAAAAAATAAGTAATGTCAATATTTGTCTTTCGGCCTCATTAACTCGTTGGTTAGATGATAGATGACAGATACAGAAAAAGAAAAAAAAATAGATACCTTATATTCTTTAATCTTTTTGGCAATTGTAGATTTTACAAGTACCGATTTCTTTTAATAATATCGTGCTTATCTATTTATTTTTAATGGTGTGTTTTTTGTCCAGTCATCTCCGCCAGTATTTTTTATTATTATTTCAAAAAAGATGGCGTCTTGTTCTTGTCATTGTATCGGTCATTTAAAACGTTTTATTCAAAATGTTGGCATCGTTAAATTAACTTTAGTGTTTCCAGTTAATAAAAAACATAAGGAGCGCTTGACTGAACATTGTAAATGATACCAAGTTCACAGAGCCCCCATCGAGAAATAATCTTAGTGTAAGTGATTTCTGAGACATGCACACCAAACTCAGTGGGATTTCTATATAAATATTGACTGATTGTAATTGACCGTAACCTCACTAGTACGGCACCCGCGAGGGCCGTAATCCCTATTTAAGCAGGTTGGAACGCGATACAAGCTTGTATCATACAACGAGTGATGACCTACTGGGATCAATATAAAAAAGTTATTTTTAAAGTAACACAAAGGAGGAAATCAACCTCTTTATCTTTTTATCCATTCATCTCTCGAGTCGCTGGGAAATTAATATCTCATATTTTATTAGGTTAATCCACAATGTCAATGGCGGAGGTTCGAGCTCTTCTTCTTCTATTTCTACTTTTTCTTCTTCTTCTCTTCTTTTCTTCTTCATCTTCTCCTTTTTCTCTTTCTTCTTCTTCTTCGTTTTCTTTCTTCTTCTCTTTCTTCTTCTTCTTTTCTTTCTACTCTCCTCTTTCTTTTTCTTCTTCTTCTCTTCCTTTCTTCTTCATCTTCTCCTTTTTTTCTTTCTTCTTCTCTTTCTTCTTCACTTTCTTCTTCTTTTCTTTCTTCTCTCCTCTTTCTGTTTCTTGTTCTTCTTCTTGTTCTTCTTCCTCTTTTGTTCTTCATCTTTTCCTTTTTCTGTTTCATCTTCTTCTTCTTCATCTTCTTCTTCTGTTTCTTCTTCTTCTCATTTTTCTGTTTCTTCTTCTTCTGTTTCTTATTCTTCTTCTTCTTCTTCTTTTATTTCTTCTTCGTCTTCTTTTCTTTCTTCTTCTTCTGTTTCTTCTTCTTCTTCTTCTCATTTTTCTGTTTCTTCTTCTTCTCTTCTTCTTCTCTTTCTTTCTTTCTCCTTCGTTTTCTTATTCTCTTTCTTTTTCTTCTTCTCCCTCTTTTTCTGTTTCTTCTTCTGTTTCTTCTTCTTCTTCTTCTCCTCTTTCTTCTTTTTTCTTTCTTTCTTTCTTTCTTTCTTTCTTCTTTTTTCTTTCTTTCTTTCTTTCTTCTTGTTCTTCTTATTCTTCTTCTTCTTTGTAGCATGTTCCTTTACAGCGTGAGCGATTCTGGGTATGCAAATTCTCTCTCCATTTTAACACTAAGCAACTCTGAGGGTCCCCCTTATTCTACTCCCCAGTTCATGTTCTGCCATCCATTTACACAATCTATTTAAGTAGATTACTCCCTTTTTTGTCCACGGTTTCTTTTTCCTTTCAATACGTCCTGTTAGTGTCATATTCTCCCTGCTTTTTTTCCTCATTATATGCCCCAATGTTTTGACGGGGTTCTTTTTAATCATAAGCAAAAGTATCCATTTTTTATTCCATTTTCCATAAAAACAACTTCGTTGTTCACATGATCTGTCCCTGGATTTTGCCAGCATCTTTTTGTACATCTTGAATGCTTCAAGGCTCTTATTCATCTATGATAACATTCACTAGTATTCAGAGACAGAAAGGACGTTCGATATTACATTACAGTTGAGCACTCTTTTCTTTGTTCCTAACGAAATGTTTCCTGCGTCTTAATACATTGCTTAGTTTATGGAAGACATATTTTAAGACATTTTTTTTATGTTTATAAGTTATTTTTATAGATACAATTAATTTGGTAAATGCTCAGTTTATAATAAACAGTATTAACAACATTTACCGGCTTGAATACCCGAGAAATTTTCATAGAAAATATGCGTTCTCCGACAGGAATCGAACCTGTATCCTATACGGAACCGTCACATAGCCTGACGTGCTTTTACTGATTGAGCCACAGAGGAGCGTTTCGGTTAGCAAGGTCGATTTTACTGTTTTTAAACTACAATCGTTCATGATTTTCTCTCATGCATTCATATCTGCTCGATGCATATCCAAATGTAAACAAATGACGACACATATTATGAAATGGACAAAGTGCGACAATTATTTTAAGATAGTTTTTATGTTTATACGTTCTTTTTATAGATACAAATATTTAAGTAAATGCTCTGTTTATAATAAACAGTATTAACAATATTTACCGGCCTGAATGTCCGAGAAATTTTCATATAAAAATGTCTTAAAATAATTGTCGGATTTTGTCCATTTCATAATGTAAGAATATATTTTGCAATTCTCTAACTCATTTTCGTTATATGTTAAAAAATTCTCAGGAAAGGTTATGTGGATTTTATTTTATTTTGACCTCTTCAATTCGCAGCTCGTATCAACGTTTCTTTCTCTCTCTTTTTTTTTTCAGTTCACACCAAGTAAGGCATTACGTCATTATGATGTAAGGGGCCCCTTGGAGTGAAAGAGAATTAAAAACAAATTTAGAAGGAACATGAAATCCAATCCTATCTACTGCTATTAAGGAAAAATAAATAAATAATAAATAAAATTGCAGCGCTCAGACGGAGACGTTGAACGTATAAAGTTAAAGTGGAATTTAGAAGGAACCGGAAACCCAATCCTAAAGAGGAAACAAGAGATAAACGACTACTCTCGGTGAAAAGACCAGCGTGGAGTGTGAACCGGACGACAGGCGATCCTATCCTTTCCAAGTTTCTATTGATTTGCGTTTCCTTCTTAACCTTTTGACTAGTCAACCGTGGAAAGTCAATACCCTCATTACACCATTTTTTTTTTACTTTTTAGTTACATGTGTTAACCATTCTTTTGTTGATGTTGCTCTTGGAAGTGTTGACTTTTTTTTTTTGTTATTTGATAAATCTCTTTTTAATTTTGTAACTCAAGTTTACAAAATATGACGAGGCATTGTCATCGTTATGACTTAGAGGATTCATTCGACTGTAGCTATTTTTAATCTTCTTCTTTTTTCATTATTATTCATCCTCTTTTTCTTCTTCCTCTTTCTCTTCATCTTCCTCTCCTTCACTTTTTTTTCTTCTTCTTCTTCTTCTTCTTCTTCTTCTTATTATTATTATTATTATTATTCCTCATCTTCTTGTTCTTCTTGTTTTTGTTGTTCTTCGTCATCTTTCTCTCCCTCTTATTCAGCTTTTTTCCTCTTCTTCTTCTTCTTCTTCTTCTTTTCCTCTCTTCTTCTTCATTTTTCTTATCATTATTCTTATTCTTCCTCTTCTTCTTCCTCCTCTTCTTTCTCTTTCTTTTCTTCTTCTTCTTTCCTCCTCTTCATCTTCCCTCCTCTTCTTCTTCTTCCTTTTTCTTCTTATTATTCTTATTATTATTATTCATTCTTCTTCTTTATTTTTCTTCTTCTTCTTCTTATTATTATTATTATTATTATTCCTCTTCTTCTTCTTTCTCTTCCTCTTATTCTTCTTTTCCTTCTTCTTTTTTCCTTTTCTTCTTCTTCTTCTTCTTTTCTTCCTTTTTCTTATTATTATTCTTATTCTTCGTTTTCTTCCACTTCTTCCTCTTCTTCTTCTTTCTCTTCCTCTTCTTCTTCTTCTTTCCTCTTCTTCTTCATTATTATTATTATTATTATTATTCCTCTTCTTCTTCTTCTTCTCCTTCTTCTTCTTCTTCTTCTCCTTCTTCTTCTTCTTCTTCTTCTTCTTCTTTACTATATTTTCAGCTTCATTATCTTCGATGACTTCTTCCATTCCTTTTCCTAAATCTTTTTTCTTGTATATCTCTTTCAATGTCTTCCTCTACAAGTTCCTTCTACAGTGTCTTCCTTCTTCTTCTTCTTCTTGTGCCATAGCCCTTCAACACGTAGGCGACCCTAGCTTTCAACAATTTCGTCTTTTAGTTATTTCCCCTAAACCCTGTTCTACCCTCCATTTACTTAAGTTCATCAAGTACATATGCGCTGTTTACCCCTACACCTTTACCTTCAATCTTCTCTTTGATTAGCAGATTTTTAAGGCCCTCCTTTTTCATTATGCGTCCTAGGAACTTCAACTGCCTCTTCCTGATGTTAAGTAGAAGTTACCTTCTTGTTTCCGTTTTCTTTAAAACCACGTCGTTGCTCACATGTTCGGTCTATGGTATCCACAGCATCCTTCTGTTGAACCGAATTTCTGCTGCCTTAAGTCTCTTCCTCATCTTCGAGAAGTTTATCCAGCATTCACTGACACACAGGGGGACAAATATCACGTAACAGTTAAGTACGCAAGGGGTTACAGAGAGTGAGAGTAAGAGTAAAGAGAAGTGTTTGGGGAAAGGGTTAAGAACCATGCATCAGAAGATGTCGATTGACATTACATTTAAATATTTGAAGATTATAGCTATCAGGGAAGCAAGTGATAGGTTTAGTTTTGTTTTGTTTTGTTTTGCTTTACGGCATATCAACCACAATGGGTTATTAAATGCAGACAAAATTTTTCAAAAATATATAGCTGGTAATATTTTTTTTAAATAAATGTATAGTTTGGTTTGTTTGTTTTGTGACATATTAAACTTAATGGGTTATTTAATGCTGACAAGATTTTTATTTCTGGTAATATTTTCTTTTTTCATATATTTATTGCTGATAATAATTTTTTAGAAGTATTTCTGTTATTAAAATCGATTTTTACACATTCATAGTGTTTTGAGTCAGGTTGTGGGGTCAACAATTTGCCCATAGCTACCTCCCCGAGTCAGGGTGGACCTGGGGACACCAGCAATTAAGAGGTGGTTCCATGCTCTTCAAAACCTCCTGATGAGAAGCTTTGCTGTTGGACGTAGTTTATCGTCATACCCAGGACGCGGATGTAGTTTATCATCATACCCAGGACGCAAGTGATAGGAAGGGAGTTCCACTGACGTGAGGTGCGAGTTAAGAAGCTATTGTAGTAGAAGAGACGGCTATATTTAGCCGTTTCGACATTGAAATGGTGGGACATAGAAGTTAACCTAGTAGCACGCTTAAATTCATGTAGTTTGCGAACCGGCAGAAGTAGCTGGTGGGAACAGTTGCCATGAAAGTAGTTGTAGAAAACACAGAGGGAAGCTACTGTACGTCTGTGAGATAGCGACTGCAGGCGGGATGTCAGATCAGGACCAACCACGTTGCATATCCGTCTCTGGATTTTGTCGAGGCCTTTGGGATGAACAGCGGGGGCACCAGACCCTATATGGCAGCAGTAATCAATGTAAAGACGAATGGTTTATTTGTAGATTTGGACTCCAGCGAAAAAAACCTTCTGGAGCGACAAAGAGAACTAAATTTCCTTGCAATAGATAAAGCTATAGATTCAATGTAATTGTTCCATTTCAGGTCAGTGGTCAGCGTGAGACCAACCAGGCGCAGAGAGACGCTCTCGTGGAGTTAGACATCAGCCATTGCGATGGGAGGCAAGGAGAGTTTTGTGATACTATTTAGCGGTCGCGTGAAAATTAAAAGCGAGAAATAATTAAGGCGAGAAGAAGCTGAAATAATTAAGGTGATAAGAAGCTATCACGAAAAGACATACTGAGCGATGTTATTTTTTTTTAACAAAGAAAAGTGGTAAAGATTTTATTTTCATTTGCGAAGAAGAGAATTTTTTTTTTGCCGAAGACAGAAAATTCGTAAGATCTCGGATCTGTCGAATTAATTTATGTTACGAGGCGGCGAATGGCAATAATGAAAATTTCAAATTAGTCCAGTGGCCCCTACGAAACAGAAACTGGGAGATAATTGTAATCAGGTCGCGCACTGATCGAGAAAGATATCAGCTGAAGGCCACCCGGGGAGAGAGGAAAAGATTAAACCATTAACTATCCTTCGGAGATATCATTTGGTTCTGGGAAAAACACCTGTTTTATTGTCCAGACATGAACATGATAGAAGTTAGATACCAGGATAGTTAATTAGAAACAGAATGCGAATACGTCTAGTTAACCACCCACTTGACGCTGGCGAAAATCTCGATTGATAAAGTCCATGTGACATTCGGTTAAGATAGAGATTAGGGACCGCACTACGAGTCGTGGGAGGTCTGGTCGGGGAAGAGAAAGAAAGAAGAAAAAAAGGAAGATAATTTTTTTTTTTTCGTTTGAGCGATAATTGTAAACACCCGCGCTGCCGAACTCATTAGCTGAGTGCTGGCGTGAGCGGTGGGCGAAGGTAAACATATAAGAAGGAGGGGAGGCTTATTGATGCCTCTGAGGGAATTGGTGTGAGATACCACTGTAAGAGAGAAGGGAAACCTGTTGACGCCCTCTGAGGGGATTGGTGTGAGATACCAATATGAGAAAGGAAGAATTTGGAAGGACGATTCCCTTAAAGTAGAAAGTAATGGACTTCCAAAAATGGAAAGTAATAAATTTTCCTGTCTGAAAACAAATAAAATCCTTGTTATGGATTTAGAATTATCGAGGAACCCCAAACCACGACAAGCCCACACTCGGTTTTGGTCGGCGTCCATATAAGCAGAGTCGCAGTTAGTCAGTCAGTTGATGAAGTAGTTGGAGTTGGAGAGACGCAGACGCAGAGTTGAGCAGTGAGCTATGAGACCAGTCTTGCAGGAAGCTGACTTAAGATCCACGCATCCTGACTTCAACTTCTAACCAAAAACAATTTATTTTTGAAGAACGACTTAGACTCACACAACCAAAACAAGTTTTACGAATATCGCCTGAAGACACCAAAAATCAGTTTCTTGAAAAAACAACTTAAGATGTTAAGACTCGCCTAACAAACGCAAAGTGTCACGTATCCATATTAGCGGTTTGGGAGAAAGGCGCAGTCCTCTATTCAGCAACCAGATATAATAATATTTGTTATTCTTTTTTTAACACATTTGAACTTTTCGAGTTGTTACTTTATTTGGTAACTGAGAGCAGTTTCTTTTTAGAAGCATTAAAGTTTACAAGCCATTTCCTGCCCTAGTCAACCACAGATTGGAGGTCCTTCTCGGGGCGTACCTGTTTAGTTTTGTCAAAGATGCCGGATCTACTATTTAGGCAGGAGTAAATAGTAGTGTCAAACTTTGTTTCTAACGAAGTTTTTCTGTCCTCTCATTGATCTCGTAAAAAAGGTGCATACATAGGAGAATTTAGACATCTCTAACTGGTTTGAACTCAATACGCAGCACCAATGACAGAGGTGTGTGTGTGTGTGTGTGTGTGTGTGTGTGTGTGTGTGTGTGTGTGTGTGTGTGTGTGTGTTAATTTTGTAATGTACAAGATTTTAAGGATAAAACCATATAAATTAGGGGCATCTTTCTCTCATTCATATTGTCAAACGCAAGGCATTACCTAATGTCTGCGCACTGAATTGCATTTTTGTGCGTTTTTTATCTACTTAATGTCAAATTTTACGTTCGGAGGTCGCATATAATTAAGAAAACTCATTCACTTTGCCATGTGTTGCAAAATTTGATGTAACATGTCACACTATGATAAATTATAACATAAACGCCGTATTTCGATAAATTTGCTATAACGGGATATAACTATATAAAATTTGAGATAAAGCAATATAATAAATGATAAAGGATAATATGAACGCTATATACCATGATAAATAAAATACAACGCGATATAATATGATAAATTATAATATGAACGTTATATCTCATAATAAATAAGATATAACGCGATATGATAAGTTTTAATATGTACGCGATATCATATTATAAATTTGATATAAGGTGATATAACTAGATAATCTTGGTATAACATGATATATGATAAATTTGGTTGTATGCTGTAACATTAGAAATTTGATATGAGGCGATATAACATGAGATATCTGATATAACGCGATATAATATGATAAATTATAATATTAACGCTATATCTCTTTATAAATCTGATATAACGCGATATAACTTGATAAACTTGGTATAACTTGATGTAATATGTTAAATTTGGTATAACGCTGTATCACATGAGTAATTTGATGTAACGCGATATCGTGCGATAAATTGTATATAATACGATATCAGATTAAACAGTTCTCTTCACCTTTAACGATTTTTGAGAAAGTAACTTAGTTGTCCGCAGCCAATTCAGGCCTTCGGTTATTTTTCTAAATATAACTGATATTATTGATTGAGATTAAGGGAATTATTTCCGATATTTTGAAGAGAAAATAATCATTCGGTTATTTTTAGAAAAAACGATTTCTTTTGGAAGAAAGTTTGTTTTGTTTGTTTTTGTTAAAAAGACCGTTCAATAGAGTTTCGATTGAATAAAAGAGTTCTTTTTTTTAAGAATCTACAGTAATAAAAAGTTTTCCGATTATAAAATTGCACTTGAATTGACGTTTGAGATAAAAAATGTGACAAAAATTAGGCAGAAATCAACTTGTAAAAGATTCGAGTAATAATGAAAAGAGGGAAGAATAAATGGATCTGAATAAAAAAAAGCAGCAATAATAAGAACTAAGAATGAAATAATAATAATAATAATAATAATAATAATAATAATAATAATAATAATATCAACAAAGAGTGTATCGCCCCAAAATATTATGATAAAAGCAATAATATTAAGATGCATTGAATTGGATAATAACAAAATTGTTATAATATTCGAGCTGGTAAAACATAAAAATAGAGCAAAGTAATCCTAATAATAAAAATATAGTAATAATAAAAAAAATTATTGACACAGATATTAGGATAAGAATCAACAATAATACGATATGTAAATCTACGAAGATCAGCTGAAAGATTTATAGGATGATTGTGATGGATTCATGCTAGAATGGTAAAATTTTGCATGCATAAATTTCAACTCTTCTTACTATTAACTCCATTTTTTCTTTCCAGGTACGAAGCTGGGCTGAAAAGTTCATAGGTTGATTATGAAGTAATGATACCAGAGCTTTGAAATCTTGCATGCATTAATTTAAATGCTTTTTATTAATAACTCCATTGTTTCTTTCCAGGCACGAAGATGGGCTGAAAAGTTCATAGGTCGATTATGAAGTAATGATACTAGACCTTTGAAATCTTACATGCATTAATTTAAATGCTTCTTATTAATAACTGCTTTCTTTCTTTCCAGGTACGTGGGTGGGCTGAAAAGTTCATAGGCTGACGATGGAGATGTGATGCTAGATCTGTGAAATATGCTATTCATTAATGTTTTTAATAACTACATTGTTTCTTTCTAGATACGAGGTTAGGATGAAAACTTAATTGGCTGAATATGATGGATTGATGCTAGAGATGTGATATCATACATGCATTAATTTTAACACTACTTATCGATAACCCAATTATTTTTCCATGTACACTGACATATGTCTGTTCAAAGACAGTTTCAAATGTAACTAGTCTTAGCTTCTCTTGAAAATGGACAAAAGTTGCCATCGTGTTGTTATCAAGTACCTGCAGAAAAGGTCTTTGTCCCAAGAACATTTATGCTGACAGGGTTTCTATGCTAGGGTTGGTGCTCCAGCTTTATCAGCAGTGCAGAAGTGGGCAGCTGACTGTCATTCAAAGCCAATGCTCTTAGTATATCCTGTGAGGGATTTTTGAATATTCTGCACAATGAACTTGGCATGACGAAGCTTTCTGCTCGCTGGGTGACACGTCGTCTGACACCTCATCGAAAGGGAGACAATTTGACATTGTATGTTGTAAATCCAACTGCTTGGAGGTTTCCGAATACAAAATGCGTTGGGTTCTTCACTTTGATCAAGAGACAAAGATACAATACATGCAATGGAAACGTCAATCCTCACCTGCACTAAAGAAGGTGTTTACAGGGAAAGTGATGACATCTGTGTTTTTTAGGATGCAAAATGCATTGCGTTTATTGACTATCTTCAGAAGGGCCACACCATCAATGGAGAGTACTATGCCAACTTTCTGAGACAATTACGAAAAACTAGCAAGACCAAGCGCCTGGGAAAATTAACGTAACGGTTGGTGTTTCATCAGGAAAATTCTCCAGCCAAGTCCTTGGTTTCAATGATTCGTGAGTGTGGCTGATCCCCATTCTTATTCTTCTGATGTGGCTGCATCTGACTATCATCTGTTCCCCAACATTAAAAAAACACATGGCTGGGAACCAGTATCGCATTGATGATGATGTCCTATGTGCTGTTGATCATATTTTTTGACCAACAGGATGAAAGCTTCTTCACTAATGAGATACAACCACTGCAACAACGATGGAAGAAGCGGACCGCAAAGAAGCGAAAATGCTGAAAAATAATTGGTCACCTACAATGAGAGAATTTTGGTCAGCTTATGAAACTTTCAGTCGACACTCGTAATTAGATCAGTTTTCATTATTTACTTTAATAATTCAATAACTTCTTTATTTCTTCCCAGCAACGAGTGCGGGAAGAAAAGTTCATAAGTTAACTATGAAGGGGTGATGATAGAGCTGTGTAATCTTGCATGTCTTAATTCCAACCCTTCTTATTAATAACTGCATTCTTTCTTTCCAGTTAGGAGGTCTAGCTGAAAAGTTCATAGGCTGCTATGAAGGAATGATTCTAGATCTATGGAATTTTGCATGCATTAATTTCAAATCTTCCCTTTACTAAGCGCATTGGTTTTTGTCCAATGAGCTCGTATCTGACTTCAAAATCAACTAGTTGATCTGATTGTAAGCCCTCCCTATTCTCCGACTATAATTTATTCGCCAACATGAATAACCACTTGACTGGAGGCCGGTATCGCAGTTATAATGACGTCATATTTGCTGCCTCTGAGGTTATTTGAGCAAATGGGTGAAAGCTTTTTCACCAAATGGATACAAGCCTTGAAAGAAGTAGACTGCAAGAGGGAATATGTTGAAAAATAAACGTCATTTAGCCACATACAATGAAAGTGTCTTGGTCAGGCTATGAACTTTTCAGCTGCTGTCGTAATGATAAAAATAGTAAGATTAAAGAATTTAATGAGCTGGATAAAAAGCAATAAGATGACTGGGTGAAGGTAGTGATAATATAAAATAAAATATTTAAAGACTAAGTCTTCTGTTAAAACAAGCATTGTTTTCTTTACGGTCATCTTTAGCTGATATCTTCTCATGGCTTCCTAAGGTTTACGTGGGCCCAAATGAACCATCAAATGTTATTTTTAAACACCGTCGAATAGAAAGCAGTATCGAAATTTTAAATATGACGCAGATTAAAAGTGAAAATGAAAATAAACATTAATAAAAGAAAACAGAAATGTTATCAAGTTAGAGGAATTAAAAGTCGGGGTTTTTAAATGTAGTTCACGTTTATTTTTATGTGTGGAAATCAGTCTGTTGATATCTATCTATTTCAGTCGGTTCATCCCTCTCTCTCTCTCTCTCTCTCTCTCTCTATCTCAGTCTGTTCATATCTCTCCATCTATCGTTCTATCTATATGTCTGTCTGATCACATCTCTATCTATCTAGCTGTCTCAGACTGTTCATAATTATTTATCTCATTCTGTTCATCTCTCTCTCTATCTCCCTCTCTATCTATCTATCTATCTATCTATCTATCTAATCACCGTCTGTTCATATCTATTTATCTCAGTCTGTTCATATCTATTTGTCTGTCTGTCTGTCTATCTATCTATCTATCTATCTATATATATATATATATATATATATATATATATATATATATATTTTGAATCAGTTCATATCTATTTATCTATCTATTTATCACTCTTCATATATATATATATATATATATATATATATATATATATATATATATTTAAATCTGTTTATATCTATCTATCTATATGTCTGTCTGTCTATATCTATATATTTAAATCTGTTCATCTCTCTCTCTCTCTCACCCTATCTATCTATCTATCTATCTATCTATCTATCTATATATATATATATATATATATATATATATATATATATATATATATATTTGTCCATATCTGTCTATCTATTTATCTCAGTCTGTTCATATCTACTTATCTCAGTCTGTTCATATCTAGCTGTCTGTGTGTCTATCTATCTATCTATCTATCTATCTATCTATCTATCTATCTATCTATCTGTCTGTCTGTCTGTATGTATGTATGTATGTTCATATCTCATTCTAACTATCTAGCTGTCAGTCTGTTCATATGTATCTATCTCAGTCTGTTCAACCTCTCTGTATCTATATATCTCAGTCTGTTCATATCTATCTATCTATCTATCTATCTATATGTTTGTCTATTCATCTTCTCTCTCTCTCTAGCTTACTCAAGCTGTTCATCCCTTATACATCTCAGTCTGTTCATATCATTCTATCTCAGTCTGTTTATATCTCTCAATCTATCTTTCTATCTGTCTACATGTCTGTTCATCTGTCTCCATATATATATATATATATATATATATATATATATATATATATAGCTGTCTTAGTTTGTTCATATGTATCTATCTCAGTCTGTTCATATCTCCCTCTTTCTATATATATATTTAGCTGTCTCAGTCTGTCCATATATATCTGTCTCTGTTCATATCTTTCTCTATCTATCTATCTTTCTATCACAGTCTGCTCATATCTCTCTCTCTCTCTCTCTCTCTCTCTCTCTCTCTGTGTTCATATCTATCTCTATCTATCTATCTCTCTCTCTATGTCTCTGTCTGTCTGGACATCTCTCACTCTCTCTCTCTCGTTAACTATCTAAGTCAGTTTAAAGATATGCTCCATTAAGAAAATGCCTTTTACGCACTGAAAATGACAAACTGTGAACTTGCGTAAGATGTTGCAGTAAATGGTGAAATGCAGTCATTGAGATGAAGCGACTGCATATGCACTGCATCGGGAAATATAAGACGCAAATTTGAGTGACCGAAAAAAAAATGAGTTCCATTTTAAAATATTTCATTGCTTTTTCGTTTTAGTTAAGAAGCTGAATGAATGGTCACCGCAAACAGACACTTTAATGCCAGGAATATAAAGTACTGCCTCATAGTTGAACGAGAAATTTAAATATATGCCCCAGAGGTAAATATGGCACGAGACTTCTTGTTATGTAGATTAATCAATATGAACTGAGATCGATAGATAGATAGATAGATAGATAGATAGATAGATAGATAGATAAAGTAACCGTAGATAGATAGATAGATAGATAGATAGATAGATAGATAGATAGATAGAGAAACCGTAGATAGATAGATAGATAGATAGATAAAGAAACTGAAGTACATAGATAGACAGATAGATAAAGTAACTATAGATAGATAGATAGATAAAGTAACCGTAGATAGATAGATAGATAGATAGATAGATAGATAGATAGATAGATAGATAGATAAAGTAATTGTAGATAGATAGATAGATAGATAGATAGATAGATAGATAGATAGATAGAGTAACCGTAGATAGATAGATAGATAGATAGATAGATAGATAGATAAAGTAATTGTAGATAGATAGATAGATAGATAGATAGATAGATAGATAGATAGATAGATAGATAGATAAAGTAACCGTAGATAGATAGATAGATAGATAGATAGATAGATAGATAGATAGATAGATAGATGCATGCAAGAATCGACCACAAAGTAATAATTCCTATTGATGCCAATGGTCAATATTGCACTGGGTATTAAACTTTCCCCCTAATAACCCATAATATTTTTTCTGTTATAGATAGTAGCTAAATCGATGACAAACCTGAAAATGTTCACAAAATGTCCGCACTCTTTTCCCAGACCTGCTACACATAATAAAGTCGGAGTTTTCAGCTTTAACTTTAAATATTCGCGACAAAATCGAAATAACAGTTCCTTGCTATATCCTTTTTTTTAACATTACAATGTTAATATTGAGAATAAATTTTGATTTTAAAAAGCGCAACAAATTCCACATTAATACTGAGAACTATGCTTAACATCTGCTGGAGACAGCATCCAACTAAATCACAGTTCTATGGACACATCCCTGATAGTTCTACAATCTTACACGAACGTTCGGTTTATATTCTCTTGTAACTCGCATCGAAGTACCTCTATCAGATTAGATTCTACTATCATTTAAAGTCCGTATTGTTTGAAAAACGATTCCAAATCTTTAAGGTACTTATCGTTAAATTTACCACTTCTACTCTTTACTATCTTAAGCCCATCATCACTATAAAGTGTTAAAGTTTTCTCAATGTAGTTATGTGGTAACCTCCATAATATAAAAAAAAAATTCCTGCTAATTCAGACATCATGTACCGATTAACTGATTACATCGCTACTTATATAAATGAAAAAAAATCTTATTTGGTAATATAAGTGAGAGATGGCTCTAAAACGCCCTGTTAATTATTTACAGCTAATGCACTAAAATAAGTAACCTAGTAATCATTTTAAGTTCTCTAAATATCGGTGCCTTTGAAAAGTAGTAGTCGATAGCCGTTTTTGTTTATTTCAGAAAGTTTTTCCCCGTTTTCTGTGTCTTCTGTGCACTTCGTCCTGAAGAGCCACCTGATGTCAATACCTCTTTTAATTTTCCTTTGTCAATATTAAGTCCACCAATAAAACTCAAACATTTGTAATTTACTTTCATGACAAATAGGAATTATTTGCAATAAATGGGCTAGCTATTTCTATTCACCGACCGGAAATTGTCTCATTCACAGAGATTTACCCACTTCCGGTACTTCTTTTATTTCTTTAATTTTTTTTTTTTTTTCTAATATTTTCTTTTGGGTCCTAAGCGGGAAGCTAGCCAATGGTCAGTCACCCGCAGCAGGAAATGAGGACATTAATGCGTATTATATTTTCACCATTTATTGATCATCATTAACTTTTTTTCGGAAGACGTGCCAATGGAACGAACGGGAAATCTTCGTTCGTTCAAGTAAGCAGGTTGAACTCAGAAATATATGGTAGAGCAGTATGAACTCAAATAAAATATTACCTTCCCGTGGGACATTTCGACGTGCTTGTCTCGCTCAATCACTTACGACTGATAATGAGTTCGATCATCATTGGTTGCTCCTTTATCCTGGCCTTGTATCATACTTAAATAGAAAGTCGGTTCATTTTTGTTGTTCTACTGATGAATACGAAGAATTTCATACACACGACATTTTTATATTAAAGTTCACACAAGGCGCAATTTTATTACACCCTTGTGCAAATTAATTGAAACAACCGTTTTAGTTTGCTCTATTTCACCATACGGTCAGCTTTAGAACCACTAGAGTGACAGGGTGTAATTATGTTTTCCTCAGATTGTCATTTGCAGTGGTGTGCAGTCATATGAATCTATTTTCGCTGTGTATGATGAAATTTGTTTGGCCTTGAAAAATATTGCATCATCCGTGATTGCATCAGATTTTTATCACACCATGACATTTTTGTCTCGACTATCGATTAGTTGTCCTACGGCCATTGTCTGCGATTGACGTTATTGGAAAGAAGCTTACGAGAATTGTAATGCTACACGAATGCACTGGCAAGCCTTACCAGTTTGCAAATCAAAGTACTATAGACTGACCAGGAAACTCATGATTTAAATCCAATCGAGAATCTGTGGTCAATATGCAAGGAACGACTTCGTGGAATGGACATACGAAGTACTAACATGTGCTCTGGGCCAAGTTTCATTGGAAAAATACGAAACAGAAAGTAAATAATAACTGAATTATTCATTTTGTTTCAATTAATTTGCCCAAGGGTATATATATATATATATATATATATATATATGTGTGTGTGTGTGTGTTGTGTGTGTGTGTGTGTGTGTGTGTGTGTGTGTGTGTGTGTGTGTGTGTGTGTGTGTGTGTGTGTGTGTGTGTGTGTAAATTATGTATTTCATCGAGTCTAGAAGAAGCCTCAACAGTTTCAATTCTCGGTAGTGGATGCGCACTGCTGATGAGTCCCAAATATAGGACGAAATGGCTTCCCAGTGCTTTCTGTCGAGGTTTCTTCTAGACTTGAAGAATTACTTAATTACAATTATCTTAAATCCTCATAATTTCTAACATTGTATATATATATATATATATATATATATATATATATATATATATATATATATATATATACAGCAAAAAAAAATTACCTCAACATCGGAATAGACTATTTCAAACAGTTCCTTAACGGCTTTCGTCAGCCTCTAAGTACTTTTCTCGGAGCACTTATTTATTTACTTTTTCAAAGCCAGTCCCTAATAGCCGCCTTGTTAATGGGAATGGGTTTGTGTTAGCGATTGTTGGGGGCGTAAGTTCGGGGGAAGCGGTCTAGGTTTGGAGTTTATTCATGGCCAAAATTCTTCTTTGTAGTTTAACATCAATTCCTACTATATGGTGTTTCATATAAAGGTCCCGGAATGTGTTTTTCTGCGATTCACAATAAATAGTTCTTGTACTACCAGGCGATGTGGGATTTAAGCTTAAGTCCGTTAAGTTTAATGTAAATTAGTTGAGTTTTATATTTATAGATTGTGGATAATACCCAATGGAATAACTCCTGCTGGCCAACATACACCCCTACATATATGCTCCTGTATTCTTATGTAATTTGGAATTTATTCGATCACTTGTACTATATATATATATATATATATATATATATATATATATATATATGTTCAATGTATTGTTCTCATTTTGGTTGGTATAGGCATTATTAGTGGCACAACGTTTATATCAAGTACCCTCTGGTCATCTTCAGGTGTCTCTTATTTGATTGATATGGGATACCTCTTGATTATTGTTATTTTTTTGTAGGGATAATATTTCGACCCAAGCAGGGCAATGAAGCCACTGAGACACAAACGGTTACTGAGTGTAAAATATTAAGAAAAAGGCAACAGTAATAAGATGGAGTAAAACTAATAATTAAATAAGTAATAATGAAGAGTGTATTGTCCAAGAATATTCAGATAGAAAAACAACAATAAGATGAAGTAAAACTAACAATAAAATGATATTAAATGTCACACAATAGATACACTTGGTTGATAGAGACGTTATCATAGAAACAAAGTTTCGACCAATTACTCTCTGGTCATCGTCAGTTTTCAGTTATTTTACTGGTATTAGATATCTCTTGATTAGTATGTTTTTGGATCGCTTTTTCGTTTTCTTAACTATTTCACCCCAAGCAAGGCAACAAAGCCACTAAGACACAAGCGGATACTGAGTGTGCACGGATAAGATGAGAAAGAACTCTATTAAAAAGCAAAATCGATAAAAGAAAACGAATCAAGAAGACCGCAAATAAACTCTGTTTTTCTTTCTTTTTACACAAGATCGTTCTTCCCTGTCCCTACATGACATAAGCCATCATGGCTCTCCACGCTTTCCTATACTTTGTAGCACTTAGTATATTTCGTCTTTTTGCTATCTCTCCTAAACACTGTTCAGTCAGCTATTTAGTGAAGCTTGTTCATTTTCTTCTATATTCCGTGTCACCTCAAGACGTGCAAAATCATGGCTCTCCACGCTTTCCTATACTTTGTAGCACTTAGTATATTTCGTTTTTTCGCTATCTCTCTTAAACACTGTTCAGTCGGCTGTTTAGTGAAGCTTGTTCATTTTCTTCCATATTCTGTGTCACTTGAAGACGTGCAAAATCATGGCTCTCCACTGTTTCCTGTCAGTTGTAAATTCTGTCTTATTACTATCTCCCTGAGTTCTTGGTCTTCTTATCCAATTACACAAGGCCGTACTTTTTCTTCTTTTATGTTCAGTGTTCCTTCACGTC